TTCGACAGGCCCATTTATGATAATACCAGTGTATTTTTTACGTCATTGTGGATGTTGTGAAAACATAAAGTCCTAGCTTCCTGCAGAAAACGTCTCGCGACTGTCTCCCCCGTTTTATTTATTTGAAAACCTAGGGCGCATGACTAATTTATCTATATTTATTAGGCAAATATATATGCTCTTTGCCGCAAAGTATCAGCAAAGGCAACCTGGCGTCATATTATGAGTCCACGGATTGCCAAACATCGGTACACGCTGACTGACTTCAAGCGCAAAACGGGGAAATTAATGGCACTGTCTTGTGTTTCCAGCAACGTCGATTCTCGGCAAGGAATGGTGATTCTCGGAAAGAGATGCCAGGACACCGTATCCCATACACAATCTAGCTTCAGCCATTTTTAACGTACGTCTATCTGCACGATCCCGAGTCACACCCTCGAGTTTCTTCGCCCGCCCTGTTTCTCTTCTTTTACAGTTGTACTATATAAACTGCTGCCCAGGCGAGCAACGCACAAAGCTGCTGCCAGGATGTCCGCCGTAAAGTTATCCGGCGCTTCCGCCACCGTCCTTTTTCATCGGCATCAAGGCCGTCATGCACCCAGCTCCGTCCTGCGACACAGATGATAAGCTGAAACGCGATATTGCGAGGCTCGCGACGAATGAAGAGCTTCCCTTAAGCCCCGTTGCTGCTCTCAAGTTTCGCCGTGCAAGGTTGTTTCCCGTCACCGCAAAGGACGTTTCCAAGGCAACGATTAATCTTTCTCCAGTTGTAAACAAAAGTTCCAAGACCTGATGAGTGCTCTGCGTGCTTGTATCTTTGCGTAATTATCGGGCTGTGATCACCAGCATTTTTTTTTCATTTATATGATGTAAGGATACACCGGTGCACACGTAAGGCGATGGCAATTCCTTGTATATTGAGGGGATTGAGCATTACACCTGCTAGATTTAAAATTACGTATCAAAGAATGTTCTCCCTCATAGACCAGATTATGAAAGGAGTGCGTGTCCAAGAACACCATCACAGTACCACCAGGACAGTACGTAGAACATAAATTATATGATATATTAATCTCATAGTACTGTAAAAACTATCAAATATGCAAAAAATAGCGTCACGTCTCCAGTCAGTGGGTAGCACAGAGCATATAATTATCACAATATTGTATTTCGATTGGACAATAAAAGCGGTTACAGAAGAAGTTGTCATTGCGCCCGTGTATCGCATTGACGAATCGCGATGTGTGAAGGTTATCTTCAATGGCGAATCACTTCCCTCGCACATCATCTTCGCCACGCGTAAATCGTCTCTACATACAAGGTCAGTCCAGTGCTGGATATGCGTGGAGCTGGCACATGAGAGAACTCTATCTATGCAAAAATGTAACACCATCCCTCGATCACTCCACCCTCCCCACAAAAGTTGTCACTGCATATTTAAGAGCGTGAAATGCCCTGACTGTTTTGTTCCTCAATCAACGACGCCAACGACAACACCGAAATTTCAGTGAAGTCATTTCTTTAATGCTATGCGTTCATAATTGCTAAGTTACCTTCATTTCCGGTAAATAAAATGGCCCTGGTCAGTTTAACAGACATATATGGCAGCCTCCAAACAGCTTATTTACTAACTTCGCCTACTGGCAACTTGCAGTATATGCGCGCAGCGTGAATTATTGTTTGAATTGACATTTTTATTGCTGAAAGATCACTACCAGTACAAAAGCAATCTGATCAAACAACGCTGCGAGGCAGAGATATGCGTTGCGCAAAGGAGGCTGATACCCAAGAAGATACAAAAGCTAAACGAGAAAACTGATAGACGCACCCGCAAGTGTGTTGAGACATTGACTGCTGCAGTTTGCTTTCGTATTTTTCTTATATCCTCACATTGAGTCTTGATGTGTTCGTAGATCGACTGGTGCGCAAGAACCCGATTTGGCTCAACTGGCACAATTCAGTGTCCCAAGCTATTTTGCTAAAACACGTAAAAACCGCAATTGGCTTAGATCGTGAAGTTATTACCCCCCCCCCCCCCAAAAGAAAAAAAAAAGAATGATGTTTCTGTTCTTGAAGCATTCAGCCACCAACAGATAGAATGCACCGTGCGAGCCCATGGGGCCGAGTCCATTATTTGACTGACAGTTGTTTCAAGTTCCAACTTTTTGCACAAACCATGTTCCGTTCTTGTGCAAGTTAAGTAACATTATATAGCCACGTTTTCATATGACGATTTATAATCATAGTATAAGCCACACACAACCCCCCCCCCTTTAAACGTCATTTTCCAATTCATACCCCTCGCCTGAATGTAATCAACGATTAGCTAACTTAAGCAGCTGAACCCTGCTTAACCAAGACAAGTAAACAAAAACCGTCAGGCCAGCGCAGAACGCGCAGCACTGTCAGAGTGAAAGCTGGAAGAGCGGTCTCTCGGAGCCTTTGTTAAACACTTTTTGGGTAATTGCTGAAAGCACACTGCAGTAATAGGGTATACCCACTATGAGATAAATCTTGCTAATTTTTGTGTGGTAGGGAGATAGCCAATATGCCATTCTTCTGCCATTCTTCAGAGAAGCATAGTATTCGCTACATACCTGAAATGAACATCACTTTTCTTATGCTGTGGCTGACGACCATGAAAAATTATACCTAGCACTACTGTAATGGGGGGAGGGGGTATAGCACCATTCGACAATCCAATAATTGCACAATTAGCATTGTGTGACAGCTGACTGTTCTTTTGATGTTCAAAGGCACTTTATTATACACGGATTAATGCGATTTCTTTTCCCAGATAAGGTCATGCATAGGGTCAGTTTGCTACGGAGTTTCATGCCACGGCGTAGCTTAGTGGTAAAATACCGAGGTGGTACGCAGGGGACCAGGGTTCAAATCCCACTGTGAACCTAATGTCTTTGATTACTAAGCTTTCTGTCATTTAGCACGACCGTATAGTTACGGACACCGGCTGACAACTACGGTGCACGCGACCCTTGTTCTAGTCTCATATCAGCCTCCACTGTTAAAGAAACAAGTATTGTCATTATTTCTACTCAGTCAAGTAACGATGGGTTATAGTGACAGAACTGTTCTGTTGAAATGAACTGTTGGTAGGCCCATGTGCTCAGATTTGGGTGCACGTTCTCAAGGTGGTCGGAATTTTCGTAGCCTTCCACTACGGCAACTCTCATAATCATACGGTGGTTTCAGGACGTTTAACACCATTTATTATTATTATATTATTATTATTATTATTATTATTATTATTATTATTATTATTATTATTATTATTATTATTATTATTATTATTATTATTATTATTATTATTATTATTATTATTATTATTATTATTATTATTATTATTATTATTATTATCCGAGTAAACTGTGCACTCGTTCTTAATGCAACACGTCGATAAACCGTGGATGGTTTCGAGCGAGGCACTGCATTGCGAAAACCCGGAACTCCCCGTTGGCTCGGATTCGAGCCGCGGGCTGAGAACAAAGCTTGAGTAAACATTGGGCGGAAGCACGCGGCCTTCCCGAGATCCAACCTCGCATTCCTCTCCGCCGTCTGGTTTGTTAGTTCAGTGGTGCCGTGTCTTAGGACCTTTGAGGGCGCTGCAGAAGTTTTGAGCCTTCCATACAACGTGGTTCCCAAGCGAACGACTTAGCCCTTAGTGTAAAAACACTGCCAATATTTCTAGGTCTGTCTTTCAAACCGAAGCTTTTGTGGGTAAATACGTTTACGCCTTGAAGTGCTGGAGCTTTACAAGTTTTACTTCCTTTGTTGATCGTACATATACAGCTTATTCCCTAGAACTGTGTCAGAATCGAATGCTCGACCCTCCACAATTGTTGATGTCGATACCTTTGTACGTGAACTGGAAAACTTGTATTGTGTGTTGTGAATGTAACCAAAATTTCTCTTGCGTTTTATTTTCTCAATCTTCCTTTCTTTTTTTTCTTTATTGTTCTGATTACGATGTTTTTATGATTCCATGATAGCTCCTCTTGCATGAGCCACGCCGTGGACAACAGTAGTGCTAAACAATAAATAAAACAAAAATTTGGTAACTACCATTTAATTCTTGTTGTACCCGCAGTTCACGGGATCAAATCCCGGCTGCGGTGGCTGCATTTTAGATGAAGTTGAAAATGCCTTAGTCCCGTGTGCTTAGATCTGGGTGGTCGAAATCTCCGGAGCTATCCACTATGGCGTCTTTCACAATGGTTATAACCAGTAAGTATAGATATGCATAACTTTGAAAACAATACGGAACGTTGCTCCAATGTGTGATGGACAGTTGTCTTCAAACGACTCAGAATTTCACTAGTTCGTTCATAAAAGAAATAATGGAGCGTACAAACGCGAATTTGAAGTTTTTTCATCGTTTGTTTGCAGACCTTAACTTCTTTTATGAGTTAACCGGAGAAAATAAAGCTTCCCAACGGGGAATTGCATAAGCCAGAAAATGTGTATTGCACATATTTTTTTCGCGTCTATGTGAGAGTAGCTTTATACAGTCTCAGGATTACTCATATAAAGAGAGTATGTCAGGGGAGGCGAAGTGCTGTTGGGTGGCATCAAAGTGAGAATCGCTTAATGAGGCATTTCCTATCTGCTGGGAACACAGCTCTATATTTTAGTTAGACTAATTTAGGCCGCCCCAGGCACTATAAGAAAACTCCTTAGGAATCGATTCTGATCTTGCTGCATCGGCAGGCATTCCTTGATTGCTTGTCTCGACACAAATCAAATCCAAGTCCTGGAAAACGGTGGGAGTCTGCAGTATATGAACATAACCAAAGCCTAAAAAATGACGTTCGCGCTGATGACGACTGATGGAAAACAGAAAGACGCGTCGGAGAGATCTGCCCTGTATCAGGCTTCCACTGCGCCCCTTTCGCTCCAAGCGCACGCCCTCTATGCGGAAGAAGGCTCTCCCTCTCGCGACTGGTTGGAACGCGGAGACGCTACTCTTCTCTAACCAACTCTCGCGTGCGCGCGCGTTCGCCAGCGCAGCGACTCTTCCACTTGGAGAAACTGCGGGCGGGCGCGTTAAGCGCAGCCGTCGACGACGCCGCCTCCGAGCGCCTCTCTTGTTTGTCGGTTACTGGCTCCTCCGCGAAGGAATGCGATATTTCGGGAAGTCGGGCCGAAGCCCGACGGGGAAGCTGCCCTGAGTCAAAACAGGCGCACACCGTGCTGTCGACATGCCCGGCCTTCGCAGGGCCCCACCACCAAGCACCGCCGCCGATCCGCGGAGTCGAGCGAGGCGCGCGCGTTGCACCTCGAGAAAAGCGTCCCCGAGGAAGTTGTCCGAGTTCGTCGCCGCGCGAGTTGAGTGACTGAGTCGAGCGCCGAAACGACACGACGCTAACGCTGCGGCGTTCTGGGCGAATCGCTGTCTGTGGCTGGAACGAGTGCCAAGATAGAAGCGACGTCACTACGACGCGCGCGACTGCTAAGACGACGTTTAGCAACGGTGGCGACCTTGTCGGACTTATCCAACCTGTCCCGTCGAAGAAGAGGACTTCATTCCTCCTCTGACTACCTACGCTGACTTTTTCCTTCTTTACTTCTTTCCTCGGCCGTTGGAGAATTAGTGGTGGGCCGAGTTGCGCAGAAAGAAGCGGAGACGGAAACAGGCGAGTCTTGCTTGCTTTGTTTGCTAGTTTTTTTTTTTTCACCCATTTCACCTCCTTCATTCAAGTCTTTCAAGGGAACGCTGACCTCTTGGCTAGTTGACGCACGTGGCAGCAGGACAAGCATGTTCGCATCACAGTAGTATACAAAGAGTGGTTTACACACACGCTCGCGCGTACGTAAGTGCGTGGAATCGTGTTGCTTATAGCTGTGTACTCTGTTCGAGGAACCAGATTGATAATAATAATAATAATAATAATAATAATAATAATAATAATAATGGTTGGTATTTTACGTGCCAAACCATGTTATGATTGAGAGTCAAGTTATACTGGGGAAGTAGGGCCATTAATGGACCACCCTTTAGCGCACGTTCTTTAGTGTGGGTCCAAATTTAAGCAAACGGTCATTCTTTGCACTTTGCCTCATCGTAACGCGGCCGCCGTGGCGGGAAATCGAACCCGCGAACTTAACAGCGAGACACGTCACCTAAGCTACTACTGATGGCTAGGCGTCATTATAACGTTAATGGCGATGTTATACTATGTAGATGTTTCGACTAGTTGCTAAAACCATTCAACAGTGGTGTGTACAGCTGTGCGTGCACATCTAGTGCAGGAGCTTGTCACGCGACTCGTGTTGCCTTAACTGGCCTGAAACATTGCACACGCATCCGGAGCACACACTAATCCTTGAAATTTGCAAACGCATCCTGAGTGCACAGTTAGCACTTTTTTTTTCCTCGGCAATTGTGCTGCGTACATTGCTGCCCAGTGGTCACTCTGCTGAAGACGCTAGCATGTTAGAAAAACATTTCAACGTGCTGCGTTTGCTGAGACACACCGATATTGTAATTCTTTATTCCTTGAAAGGGATGAAAACAAAGAAGACATTGTGCGTGTATCATGACTAGATGTTTTGTTCATATTATACAGAAGTGTAACATGTTTGACTGCCGAATAGGAATGCGTTTTCTCACTCAGTAACTACATTCTCTAACTTTCAGAAAACAACCTAGTAACTTGTTTGCTTTCTTAAAATAAAATACAAAGTGCTTTAGAACACGCGCTTTGTGAGTTTTAGAAATTGATACGGGTATCGCTACACAGCTAGCAGTAGTCGTCGAAATATTTGACCATCTACAGCTTTAGCCACAGGCATGCTTCGATTCTTTCAGTTTCAAAGCATAAAGTGTAAGTGGCGATCGTACTTGCAAACAGTAGAGTTTCGGAATATGCCTTTTTGGAGGCGAAGCTCCCAAGGCGAGGGTCGTGCGTCCGCGATGTATGTAGTAGTCATCGTATGAGTAGGTATACCCACCTCCACGACCGGACTAGAGGAGCGGCACGCGCGCACCATTTTCAATTGAGGAGGAAACCCGCGCACGTTAATCCTACTTAAAAAGATAGTTGTTTCTGATGAAAACAACCTACAAAGACGAGTCATCATCATCATCATCAGCCTGACTACGTCCACTGCAGGACAAAGGCCTCTCCCATGTTCCGCCAGTTAACCCGGTCCTGTGCTTGCTGCTGCCAATTTATACCCGCAAACTTCTTAATCTCGTCTGCCCACCTAACCTTCTGTCTCCCCCTAACCCGCTTCCCTTCTCTGGGAATCCAGTTAGTTACCCTTAATGACCAGCGGTTATCCTGTCTACGCGCTACATGCCCGGCCCATGACCGTTTCCTCTTCTTTATTTCAACTATGATATCCTTAACCCCCGTTTGTCCCCTAATCCATTCTGCTCTCTTCTTGTCTCTTAAGGTTACACCTACCATTTTTCTTTCCATTGCTCGCTGCGTCGTCCTCAATTTAATATGAACCCTCTTTGTAAGTCTCCAGGTGTCTGCTCTGTAGCTAAGTACCGGCAAGATACAGCTGTTATATACCTTCCTCTTGAGGGATAGTGTCAATCTACCTGTCATAATTTGAGAGTGCTTGCCAAATGTGCTCCACCCCATTCTTATTCTTCTAGTTACTTCAATTTCGTGGTTAGGCTCTGCGGTTATTACCTGCCCTAAGTAGACATAGTCTTTTACAACTTCAAGTGCACTATTACCTATCTCGAAGCGCTGCTCCTTTTCGAGGTTGTTGTACATTACTTTCGTTTTCTGCAGATTAATTTTAAGACCCACCTTTCTGCTCTCCTTGTCTAACTCCGTAATCATGAGTTGCAATTCGTCCCCTGAGTTACTCAGCAATGCAATGTCATCGGCGAAGCGCAGGTTACTAAGGTATTCTCCATTAACTCTTATCCCTAACTGTTCCCATTCTAGGCTTCTGAAAACCTCCTGTAAGCACGCGGTAAATAGCATTGGGGAGATTGTGTCCCCCTGCCTTACACCCTTCTTGATTGATATTCTGTTGCTTTCTTTATGAAGCACTATGGTAGCAGCTGATCCCCTGTAGATTTCTTCCAGAATGTTTATATATACTTCATCTACGCCCTGATTCCGCAGTGTCTGCATGACGGCTGATATTTCTACCGAATCAAACGCCTTCTCGTAATCTATGAAGGCTATGTATAGTGGTCGGTTATACTCTGAGCATTTCTATATTACCTGATTGATAGTATGAATGTGGTCAATTGTTGAGTAGCCTGTTCGAAATCCTGCTTGTTCCTTTGGTTGATTGAATTCTAATGTTTTCTTTACTCTGTTAGCAATTACCTTTGTAAATAGCTTGTATACTACAGAGAGCAAGCTGATCGGCCTGTAATTCTTCAAGTCCTTGTCATCTCCTTTCTTATGTATTAAGATGATGTTAGCGTTCTTCCAAGACTCTGGTACCCTTCTCGTCAGGAGACACCTCGTAAACAGGGTGGCTAGTTTTTCTAACACAATCTGTCCTCCATCTTTTAGCAGATCTGATGTTACCTGATCCTCACCAGCAGCTTTGCCTCTTTGCATGCTCTCCAAAGCATTTCTGACTTCTTCTATCATTACTGGTGGGGTGTCATCTGGGTTACTGCTAGTTCTTATAGCATTAAGGTCGTGGTTGTCTCGGCTACTGTACAGATCTCTGTAAAACTCCTCCGCTATTTTAGCTATCCTATCCATATTGGTAGTTATTTTGCCTTTTTTGTCCCTTAGTGCATACATCCGACTTTTGCCTATCTCAAGTTTCCTCTTCACTGCTTTGACGCTTCCTCCGTTTTTTCAGAGCGTGTTCAATTCACAGAGAGGAGTATTGGTGACTTATTCTTCAATAAAATTCGCCTTGAGTTTGACGCTTACTAAAAAAAAGTAGTATCAGAAGGACGCACTTTGGGCACTATCTGAGCAGAGAGGGTTGCCCCGTTAAACTCGCTGGGCGTAACCGCCTTGGTTTTGACAAGGTCCAGCGAGGGCTGGGCCACAGTGCCATGAATATAGTGAACTAGTATATAGCTATGAACTAGAGGCGGTGAAAGGTGGGAATTGGACACGAAGCGCAGGCTGTTAGGAAGAGCGCGAGTGCCACATCTAGTTTAGTCCTTGGAATGTCCGCTGGATGGCAGTACTTTTATATGCTTCCATATGCTAACTATATGATGAGAAGATGTGACATGACGGTACTTGGAGTGTTCACAAGACGGACGAATGGACGTATGAACAGATGCACGGGCGGACGCACGGATGGTTGGACGGATGCACAGACGCACACGCACACGGATCGACGGGTGGGCGGACAAATGGACGGACAGATGGACGCATGGACGGACGCACAGACGGGAGATTGGACGCACAAACTTACTGACGCACGGACGGACGCATGGATGGTCGCACAGACGTACGTACGGGCGGATGCATGGGCGTACGAAAGAACGAACGGACGGATGGTCGCTTCACACCACTCATCATCATGCACTTCGTGGATATGCTGTGATTTTTCAAGTTCATTAGCCACAGCTACATTTAATTAAGGACCACTGTGTGATATTTGTACACACATAGTCATGCGTTGCAACACAACAAATTGTAGCTTTTCTGGCACATCATAGCGGGTGAGCGGTGTTAGATCTTCAATATTTCTGCTTTGTTCTTAAGTACTTTTTAATAGAGTTTGGTGGCGAGTTCACTTGCGTGCAGAGATTTCGGCATCCTTGGCCAAAAAATAAGCACGACACTCGGGCTAATCCTGAAAGCTTGTGTTTGATATAGGCTTTTAAAAACTTAGAACAGCCACAACAGAGGGCAAAACGCGCAGCATTTATGCCACGAAGACAATTATCTTATTTTTAACAGACCTAAATGTCAAAAGTGTTATGAAATTCCCCCATGCCGGAAGTCATTACAATATATATATATATATATATATATATATATATATATATATATATATATATATATATATATATATATATATATATATATATATATATATATATATATATATATATATATATAGAGAGAGAGAGAGAGAGAGAGAGAGAGAGAGAGAGAGGAGACACAACCTTGCGCGTTTTTTGCCCTTTTATTTTCAATGGTTTCGACCGTTGGATCAGTCTTTCTAAACCAAGACCAGTCGTGTCAGAGTTTAGCTTTGAAACTACTATATACTTCAGGCTATTAGCTGAAAAACACTGTTATGCGGTTGTGCAAACTTTTAAATATCAATGTACGGGAAACATTTATTTACATTTGCACATACACGTTCTGATTTCAATACCGATTCCTATGACGAAGGAATCAACAATGATTTTTTTAAGCGAACTTATGTCATCTGCATACCAATGACAGGCTGATATGTAGTACTGTTGCAAATTTTCTTTTAACTTGATATACGTTAACCCTACTGCTCACATATAAGCATAGAGACGGACGTATTTTAGGGCTCTATAACGCCTAAGTCGAACCACACTATTCACTGTTTAATTCAATGCATAAATATTAGTAGGCACAATTAAACGAACGGTCCGAAGCTAAAACTAAACGGTGTGAAGCTCGATACTCAGTGAAGCTGATAGGCTTCATGTTTTTTTTATTACTTTACCTAGTCAGAGCTTGATTGTAGCGTG